TGTTTAAAGATGTATGAGGTCAAGACTTTTGATCTCGGCTCCGGTAAATTTTTTCCATCTGTTCATGTGATAGTCTCGATAAATTTGATCTGAATACGGGCGCTTCTTTTCTAACGGATCGTCGCGGTTGAGTGGCTATGTTGCTTGATACATACAAAAGATGCTTTACTCAAACGTTGGTGTCTACAGTCATTTAATGACTTCAAACAATTGACTAATGGCTGCGTGTTTCAAGTCTCTCATCTAATAGCATATTGGCTACTTTGCGACGTTCACCTATTCATCCGGCTAGCCACTATGTATGAGGAGTTCAAGAAATTCAGCGTAATAATTCTGCGTTACGCTGGCTTTGTATGCAGAGCTATATCTAGTGTTAGTTGTAGAAACGATATTGGGCGATTGAGTCTACTACTAGACAGCACCCCATACCTCAAGGTAGCTAACAGGCAGCGTATTCTTCCTTTTTTTTCTCTACTAATGATTCTGGTCTCGATCTAGAAAAAAACTATTCAATACTTGCTTTCTCATTTACTTAGTTGACAACTAGTACGTTCTCGGTCATGTCTCGGTGATTATATTTTGATTTATAAGATAATTTGCTTAAAATCATAGAATATGTCAACTATACTCTTTAGTTTCGATTAAAACAACTTATTTCTTTAGTATCAGACTCGATCCTGCACATCGCTAGTCCTGTTAGATATAATTTCATATATATATATTCACTGATCTAAATGCAACTATTCTCTATGGGTATCCGTTTGGATACGTATAACTTCGATTGGAACGCGTCGAAACTCAACAACACAATCATTCATCCTACGTAGTAAATATCTACATGCTGATCTTCAATTCTACATATCTTGATTAATAAATCATTTTACAAGTCGAAACTCTGTGAATATATTTCCTAGTCTTTAACTAGATGAAATTGAGTCTAACATATATCAAATTCTTACCCTTTCGGTTGTCCAGTAAATTTATCGCATAAAATAGTTACACGATGAATTGATCCACAGCCATGAAAATGATTTTCAAGTTCTTGTGCTGTAGCTGAATAGTCAACCTAGATATAGACATATATAAGGATTAGACATAAAACTATGTGTCATTGTTTTAAAATACATTTCCAACATAAACTGATTTTTGATCTGCTTCCATTTTTTCTTCAATCGTTGGAAATTGTGCTAATTACAAATTACATTCAACATATTAAGATAAAAAAAAAACAAACAAACAAAATTTATTGACATACATGTTCCTGTTGCACCAGGTATTTGCATTTGTTTTTCAACTTCAAATTGCATTTGTTTTAATTTTTCTGCTTCTTCTTCCATTTCATGTATACGTTGACGCATTGTTTCAATATCAGTTTCATCATTCATTTCTGATGTATCCAAAAGTGAATCGGAAAGACTTTCTTGACGTTTTGGACTAAGAACAACATCAGGACTGGTTGGAATAATTCCGTTATTATTATTTCCATTATATGTTGTCGTGCTACTTGGATCCATTTTTGAAAATTAATAAATGATTAATCTGTTTGACAAATGGGATGAATAACAATGAATAAATGAAAGAGTGCAAAAAAAACAAATAAATAAATGAAAAGAATAAACAATGAGTTTTACTATTGGCTGTTTATTATTTACATAGAATTTAATTTAAAAAAAAGAAAAAATTTAGATAAAATTTTATTATCTTTTTTTTTATTTAATTATATAATAATTCTTATTTAATCTCGATAGAAATCGTTCAGCAGGAAAATGATAGGCCATCAAGTTAACCAATACAAATAAAGGTACTATCTTTTTCTTTTTGCTTAACTTCATAGTTCGAATTGAATCGATGTACGTCTGCCCCATTTATGATAACTGATCAAATTAGAACTCAGAATGTGTTACCGCAGTGTAGTGTAAGACGTAGATTAAGCTAACAGAAGATATATGTAATTCCATCTGTGATACGTCCAGGCACGTGTTCCAAAGTTCCTATGATTGTTTCAAACCCAACTCGATAATCTTCATTTAATAGTATGATTAAGTTTTTCATACGACAAACCATATTTCTAAAAATTTTAAAATATTAATATTTCATTTTGAGATTTCATTGTACACTCGAAACTTAATCCGTACGATATGAGTGTAACAGAATATTACGAACTGTGTTTTTCCGTTGCAAACTTGATTGTTTATGAATTATGCAGTAGTTAAATCAGCTGTTTCCTTAGCGTTTGCTAGTGAATGATATTACGTTGGTACTAATGAAAATCAGGTACTAGTTAGCAATTTGTTTTTGATTTTCGTTAAATGAATAATTTGGGATATGATCGTATTTTTAACTTAAATAACAGAAATAATTCGAAATAGAATACTTAATATGATTATATCTGTATCTTGTTTAATAATGTACAGAAATATTACACTATCGATGTCATCAAATCACATTTACATCAACTTATTGAGAACTGCAGTTCTAAGTAATTATTCAATAGTTGATGCTTTGTATTTAAGACTGTATCTTTATTAATAATAAAATAATATACAATTTGAAAAAAATCAGAATAAATTAAGTCAATGAATGCGGTGGGTGTGTGAAGAGAACGAGTACTCATTCATGTGCACTCTCTAGAAGTTTTTGAAAAGACTTCTAGGCATGCCGGAATCATATTCATATTAGAGATCTCTTCCTTCCCATAGAAACATGTCAATATTTTGGGATTTTGGAGAATATCGTTTGTCGTATAGAAAATCTAGTGATACATTAGATAGAGTTCATCGAATTCTACTTTAGCCAAGAATGGAAACTCTGATACATATTCTTAAGAGAATCACAGACGAAGTTATTCAAATCGGCTGCTAACTTCATTTACAGTAGTAAACGTTCATAACACTAGCACATTTCAGAGAATGAATTGTAGTCTCTATTTTTCTTCGATAATCTATTGATGAAAATCTAAATTCATTGCTAAGAGTTTTATCGTTCTAGTCATAGGTTTGGTCAAAAAGACTTTTAAAAACTATTTTCTTCATTCTTATTTTACAGTCTTTATTTGAAAATAATTCGCTATCTATTAGGTGAAGTATTTGCCATTATCAATGTTTATAAATTGACTTTATCGAGTCACATTCATTATTTTAATTAATAGATGAAGTTTTCTTTTTTCTATTAGTCCATTGAATTCGTATTAACTTTTCAAACAGTCATATTTCTTAATTCAGCACTACATTTTCTAGTTATGATAAGGCCTTGTGCTTTTGTTTTACACATTTGTCATTTGTTCAAAGAATAGTCTAATTCAATGGATTGAAGCGTTATTGTATAAAGTTTTCTACAAAGCAGACAGACATTTATTTTTCGAAATATCTCCACACATTCTATAATGATAAATACAGAATACGCGTAATCAGACGATGATCTTCGTATCTTGTGTTGTCATATACTGTCATGCAATTTAGTTTACCTTTCTGAACTGTGTTTTTACTTAGAAAAATCATATTAAACCAAGGAATAGGATTTGTTCAATGTCTTAATTTTTGGCGACAATCAAAAAATGCTATCATTTGTTATTTTTCCAATTGTACATATGAATAAATTTATTTGTATTTTATTCGTAATAGGTTTTGACAGAAAATTGTCCGCACAAAACAGTGTATATTTATTTACCTTGTAATATCTAATTATCCATAATATGATTTCAATCGTATTATACTGAAATCAGAGCACTACTGCTATTTAGTGACATCATCACCCTCGCGCTTATTGCTGTGCTAAATATACCAATCGGGTATGAAGGTGTCACTAAATGTAATGTAGAAGAGCTAACTAATAATAATAAATTTTAATTGGTTAAACTAAATCATCATCTATGATATGATAAACGCGATGTTAACTCAGATTAAGCACACTTCGTTATTCATATGAATCGGTAAGTGAGCTTCATGCTGTTTCCAGTATATATACATGATCTGAAGAGTCACAGCTTTTAAATTTTTATTGGAGCAACGTGTGCGCGTGTGGTTTCTGTCAGCTGTGACACGTATATATTGAATAGTATTTACTCTAGTCTGAAACTTTACCACGTGATAATATTAACAATCGTTGAGTAAAGAGTTATTTTCATATGATGCTATCATCTATTCTGAATTTTCAATTCATTTTCCATCTATACTACTATGTAGTTAGTTGCGTCAGAGATAATTATATCCAATTACAGACGGATTTTATACTAAGAAAAATTTTTGTGAAAAAATGACAAAAATAATAAAACAATGGCAATCAATAACTGATAAGAAGATAGAGAACGTTTTAAATCGATGCAATCCACTTTCTTTCTTTTTAGTTATCATTGCTACGGGTACGGAAGTTCTTGGTCTAAATATAGGAAGAACTTTTCCAAAAAATGTTGGAATAGATCGGTTACTTCGTGAAAAACCATACAAATCGATTATTCATACAATGAAAAGCACATTGAACTTAACCTTTATCGGATATTAGCGTGATTTGTAAATAGTTATTCCTCTATTCTTAAAAACAAAATATTCAAATATTTCAAAATTTCTTAATAGGCTTTGCTATTATTGTGTTATTTCCATTGAGTTGTGACATAAGTTCTGCAGGTTTTGTTGTTAATGAACAAATTTATTTTACGACAAAGATATGCAATATCAATCAACAATATAATCGCCATTATTTTCGAAACTTGGACCCATCTTGCTAGCAATTGTTCAGTCAGACATTTGCAGAAACTAACCAGTTATGATCCGAAAAAGACAATGAAATTTTGTTGGTTGACAAAAAAACCTACAGACTTATGTTACAACTCAATAATAATCATAGATTAATCGTTGTCTATAAATCTGATGAGAAGGGAATTTGAGGTAAAGTTGAAACTATTCGTGAGTTTTATTAGATAAGTAATTTTTATTTTTCATTTAAAACTCTAATCAAATCAATTTTTTTCTAGATTTAAATAAATGTAAATTAAGTTCAATATATTCATGTTTGATATAATTACACGTCGTCGCATAATATTCTTTCTTTTTGCGGTTTTTTTTGTTATTTTAAGTCTTTTATTTTTTGCTCGTATAATCCCATCATATTCAAAATTTACATCATTAGAAATTAATGATAAACAACAAATTAGTGAATGTTATTTAACTGAACCAATTGATATTTTAACATTATGTCAAAAATGTACATCATATGAAGTTCGTTCTAAAGCAAATGGTTGTTTACCGACTGGTTTTAAAGAAATAGTACTCTGCTCAAAATCCAATATAAAAACAGCTCGTTCATGTCAAATACCTATTCATGTTCAAAAAAAACATTTTTGGTTGTTTGAAATTTTTATGTTTATTCTTGGATTATTTGCTATAGCTAATGTACATTTGAGACAAAAAGTTTTAGATAAACAAATGGTTGAAAAAATAAAAAGACAAATTGGTGAAAATGATGAATGATTGGTAAACGTTAAATTTAGATGTTAATTCTAATGTTGAAATATTTTCTGTAAATAATATGGTGAACTATATTTTATTTTTATTGAATAAATATTTAATTGATGCTCAATAGAAATTTAAGTTATTATGATAAATATAATTTTTGTGCATTGATCTTTTTTTTTTCTTTATCCCGAATGAATAATAGATTAAAATGATGAATATTGAATAGTATTTCTTAAGAAGCTAAGTCTTCTTTAGTAATTTCGACTAGGACACTTGCAAACCAGTATGGGTGTGAGGGAAGAAGCTGTAATTGTGAATACAACCGTTAGTTCTCTCTTCATCCATAGCCATCTGAACAAGTGTATTAGACACATATAATCAGATTAGTGTATGATTCAATGATGTGTTAACATAGATTAAATTCTCTGATTTAGTTGTTTTCGTTAATATTAGTCGTGCAAGAATGCTCGCCTGCAGGGTCAATGTGAGATACATGAATTCAACAACTGATTATGCAGACAAGTAAGTACGAAATGATGTATGTATGTATGTATTATTCTCGATCGTACTTATTCTCTTGACGAATGTGGATAACGATAATAAGAAAAAAAGTTTAGTTTATAAGATTTAAAATTTTTTTTTCTTCTTGTGTTTCTCTGGTACGTATAATAGTTAATAGACTTTGTGACTTTGCTCACATTGGAAAGAGAAAATTATATAATATTTCTATCAAGGCGTGAAGGTATTGTTATCAATACCCTTTGATTAAACAAAGGTGTGTTAGAGGCTAGTAGCCTCAAGAAAGTTGCTATTATCAGTTTCTTTCTCTTATATATATATATATTGTTATCTATTATCATCAAAAAAAATACCAGCCAAAATTTTGATTGTGATATCTTTTGCATGTAAGTATATTGTTAATATTTATCTACAGATTCATTTTTATTCAAAATCGTGCTACATAACCCCGGTGTTCTCGATTCCTCTTTTTCTTTCTCTTTTCTATAATCACCACACACTGTAAGATTTTTTAGCGCGGTCTTTTCTTAATAAGAACCACTTGTCTTTATTAAAGTTGTGGTTTTTAAACAATGTACATGTCAACATATTGTGTGTTTATCCTTCTTGGTGTTACTCTTTGCTTTGGAGTTCCAATTAAGAAAGCGAATAAATGTGGTTACGATGTGAGAGAATTGAATAATCTTAAACATATGAATATGCTATGCATGAGCCTTTTGTTTATAGGCATGTAACTTAGGTGATCCATCAAAACTAAATGTTCATATCGTCGCACATACACATGACGATGTTGGATGGTTAAAAACGGTAGATCAATATTTTTATGGAGGTATGTCGAGTTATTTGAAACTTTAGTTAGTAGAATATAACTATATCAAAGTTTTTTATTAATAAAATACATATAAGAATATACCAAACTCTTGAATCTTATTTCTTGAATTCATATTATATTTTATTTAGCTCGTAATTATATTCAACATGCCGGTGTACAATATATACTTGATTCAGTTGTGAGAGCCCTTGATCAAAATCCTGATCGACGTTTTATTTATGTTGAAATGGGCTTTTTCTGGCGTTGGTGGAGTCAACAAACAGATGCTATGCGTGATAAAGTCAAACAATTTGTTAACGAAGGTAAAATTCCTAAAATAGAAAATATTTTCTTTTTTTTTGCAAGATAAACCCTTTTTCTTTTTTCAAAGGTCGTCTTGAATTTATTTCTGGTGGTTGGTGTATGA